CCCCCCCCCCCCCCCATTTCCTTTCTTTATGCCTTTATTATATAGGTAATGAAAGCAACAACCATAAATAGTTCACCAACTTGTTTGTGTTATGTACATATATACAATTAGGATTCAGATAAAATGGTACCATACAATGATACCATATGTTCAGTTGCCTGTTTGATGTGTACATTTTGTTCTGATGTATTGTGATTTGAACTATGACATGAATAAAAAGTGTTCAAATAAAAAATATGATCACTCTATAAGTTATATTTGAATTACTTTATTTAATAGTGATGGGTTGGACCAAGAGAATGGTTACAGCCAAAATAACATGACATACCGAGTCTGTGCTCTACATGATCTGGGTTCCGTATAAAACCTTACCATTCTGCCATCGAGTGGACAGAACTTTCTAACGATGTTAGTTGATAATGATAACACACTGATGCTAGGACAGAATAAATAGAAAGTAGTACAGCTTAACCATCCGACCTACTACGCAAAGTTACTCTTACATTTCTCTAGTGAGTCCATATCATCAGTGTACAAGTGGCGACTTCATCGCAGCGCGTGTCAAGCGTATCTCTATTATGAGAAAGTTGTTTCTAAAAGCAATATGTATATATATGTTGATTCACACTGCTACGTATACTTAAAGAATTAAATGAATCAATAACAACACTTTTACATTAGAAATGTGTTTTTTTCCACAAATGCCTAAACAGATCTAGACCAAGTGCAACTGATTTGGTTACAGCTTAAACAATGTATGTGTATAAGCCATGCTTTCAGTGGTTTTCAATTGATTTGCTGCACAGAAACTTCCATTTTAATAAAGAGGTTGAGAATGACTGGTCCATTTTACATGATTCTGAGACGTTAATTTTTGACAACACAATTCATTGTCATCATGTGATATTTCAAAAAAAAAAGAGACAAATATCGAGCTATTATTAAACAGCTTCACAAACCTTGGTTCCAGCAAACTTAAGCAGCAACACAGAAGGCTTTAATTTCAAACAAGCTTGGAAAAGTATGGTCATCATAAACTACAGTATGAGGAAGACAACTATTCTAATCTGCAAGTGCAATGTGCTATCTGCATCTCTATAGAGTACCGAGTGTTCAATATCACACCTTCCACAGCTGTTTCCCAGAGAATGCAGACGGTGTTCTGAAGTTTGTATGAAACAAGGTCATGAAAGAGAAAATGGACATTGTCATCAACATCATGACAATGGAAGAAACTTGTCTTTGGGATGAATGCTGTATAGCACTGACAAATTGGAACACAAAAGAAGCACTGTGACAGTTGATAGCGAATCAGTGGAATACATCAGTAAATATGTGGAGGCAGTACAGAGAGGATCTGATCAAATGAAATAGATACATTCGTTCATTCTCTCGGCGACACCTGGCGATCTCGAGATTTGGTAAGTTGGATCAGAGACGTATATACTATCATATGTCTCTGGTTGGATGTCATCGTTCAATCACTAACAGATGTACAATTCAAGTTTTAGCACATGAATGATTTCTTTTTCTCGTTTGTATATATTTGAGAATTTTAATACGGTATTTGGTTAATCTGCAGGACATACATTTAAAAAAAATGAACTTTATGAAATAGATGCATACTATATATACCTGTGGTTTTCATTGCAAAATGTCGCACAACAATCATCCCTGTATTTGGTGAAAATTTTGATGCAATTTTTTCGATTGAACAGCTTGTCACGTTAGGTACATACTGTAACCTGATAGTGAGTATAAACTCATATAATCCATCCGTTTCATACTCTAGATAGCACTGGCGAGGAAAGTGTTATTTGACCTGCGATTCATTATGAACAGAATCAGTATATGATGGTAGTTTGTCTAATACAGGTCCAAATCCCCTTTCTCGTATTTTAAACAACGAGACAATCCCTCATCTAGCTTCATCGATCTGATAACGTAAGATACTTTATCACATGTTAACAGTCAAACATAAGGCAAAATAATGATGGTTGGAATATAAATATCTGTTGATGATGATGATGATGATCCATGTGAGAGTTCGTATAATTATACACCCGTAACAAAAACTTTGAAACAAAATTAAATCAGATTACATGTACATGGGTCTATACGATACAGGTCGCATTAAATTCTGGTATACACATACAAAGCACTGAATGGAACAGCTCCTCAGTCCCTACAGGAACTTGTTACCCTGTATCAGCCGTCAAGATCACTGCGGTCGGAGTCAGAATCTTTTTTGTGTGTCCCAAATCTCGTACTGTGACCTACGGAAACAGATGCTTTGGGAGGGTTTCGGCTACGTTGTGGAATAGCTTACCATCTGCTATTTATAGGAAGTCGAATACCCTGGCCAAGTTCAAGAGGGACATAAAAACTCACCTCTTCACGTCTGCATTTTAGAATCTTTGCAAAGACGTCATGTAAATACCACCCTTTTATTTGTTCAATTATGTGCACATTGCTTGTTAAATGTATGAAAGTGATTGTAAGCCTTTGTTGTTTGTTTTCACAATTATAACCATTACTATTATCCATATGTTGTAAAGCGCCTTAGAGTATATAGGGCGCTATATAAATGCTGTATATTATTATTATTACATATATGCCGTATCTAATCATGATCATGGATGATTTGGTATGTACATGTGTGTTCAGTCCGACGGACAGCTACAGTAAAAAGTTAGCCGTACTTTCATCGTGGAAACTTACTAACATCACAACTTCAAATACTCATGATTTAACATTCTGATATGTTATATTGCATTAAACACTATCGGATTTAGCGGACATATCAAAGTTGAATTTACTCGCATACATGGAATCTCACAATGAAAACATACATTACATTTTTACCATTGCATTTAAATGTACGCTCCATGTTAACTGCAATTAAGTATTTACCTCTGTCTAACAGACACAAACAACTTGTTTGTATGGTTAATCAAGCGATACGTGCAGGTAATAGCACGGACTTAGATAATCTAATTCCGTGGTAATAGTGTATAATTTACACTTATCAAAATTTCGTGATATTGTGCAGTTAAGACTGTTGTAGCCGAAACCAGGTCACAATTTTATGTTTCCAAGATACTAGGACCTCTGGTTGATTTAGACCTGTGAGTGTCATTAAGAACTAAACGCTGATGGAGTGACACACAAATAATGTACCTGCAGCGTAACAAATCATCACACAGGACAGAAATGTGGCAAAATGGCTTTATTACAACATAAAATATAGACTTTTGTCTTACTGGCATGCTCAGCACGTATAACCGTGTATAACGCGAGTAAATAGACCCAACAAAAACAATTATATTTATGTTAATGTAAAGAATCAACTTAATGTATCCATGTCCTGTTGTTCTTAATGTTTATATTAATTCATATACCTTGTTTGTCAAACAGTAATATTGTACCAGGTGAAGGTGTTTTCTTATGATCATAAAAGTTCTTCCCATTTTAAATTCATTTCTCTTAGAAATAATTGGATAAAAATGAATCAGTCATACACGTCCCTTTATAAAATGTGTGCTTTTCACATCACACAAGCACAATTCCAACTATCTGATACATTACCATAACATTTTCACCCCTGAAATTTCATAATGAACTATTCCAACCTTTGAATTGAAAGAATTCAAATGTGTCTTCAGGGGTGAATGAGTTAACTTGTCAATACTGCACAGCATAAATTGAACACATGATCAGCCCATCCAATGGTCCCTTCACTACCATTTAATTCAGTAACTACATTTAAGCCCAACTGTTTCCCTATACATGTATATACTGTAATACTTAGCATGGGTTTGTCAAGCAGTGACGAGATGAAAATGACCAAAGAAAAACTGTCCAAGTCCTATATAATCCCAAATTATCTTTGATAAATTGAACACCTTAAGGTAAGTCATCTGGCACAAATGTTTGGGAGATCGCCTTTAGTTTACCGATGACAAAAAATTGAAAAATGATGCTAAATATAAAACCTTCATGAGGCACCGGGCTGCTGACCCTGCATCTCCATTTGAAATAAAATAAAAAGATAATAAAATTTGTACTTGTCCTAGCATCGTCAAGAAATATCTTATTCACAAACTGGGTGCCATGTTCAAAAAGTTGCAAACAGCCACTGGTAGACTACGAACTTTCCCCGATGCGCGACACCAGCCGCTCAAATATTTTGGAATTGTTTGGAGAACAATATATATAAAGAACAAAAGGAAAATCATTTATAGTTAACTGTTCACATGTAATAACTACCTGGTATACATGCGTTATGTATATTATTTCTGCAAAGTGTTTTTGGTAAACTGGACATGCAGCAATACAGCTATATATAACACTAGAAAGCTATTTCATATTGAAGTAGAATGAAACTAGTTGATTTATGTCTGTTTGGCAATATTCATGAGAAATAATAATTTGACGATTTTGATCAATTGAATATTTGGGGAAATGTTTGAATAGTTTCTTATTTCACCACAACACAATGATTACAGACGTTCTGGTCTGAGTAAATAATGTTTTTTATCAAAAGTTTAGTTCCAGCCTAAATCTCTCACGAGGCGTCACGTGCACCTTGTCCTTAAAAGCCTTGTGTTATGTCAGGGATAAATTATCTTCATTGTCTGATCACTTTGAAATATTGAGCCTAATAATTTTACATTTGTGTAATTACAGGGTATCAAAATACAATCATGGATTTCTTGGTAGGTACATTTATTTTCTGAAAGAAAACCCTTTAGATGTTGATCTTAAGTGTGCTGTACCTTTTGGTTTCGTAAATAAAACGTCTTATTTCAAACAGTTGTTTGAAATGAAAATACATGGACTTCACTTTAAAAAAAAAATACAAATATGGACAGTTAAAATCAACATTTCATTTTTGTATGGATGATTGATGATTAGCACTAAGATCCAGTCGGCTGGACTTGCATATTCTTCAGCCAGACGATGTAGATCCATGTGTGGTGAAGGATCCATAACATAACCATTGTCCATAGACATAAATAAACATGATAAATGTTAAAACTGTTCCGAACTATTCTCCTCGCGATATGTTTTAGAGAGTATGATTCTGTCCCGCAGAAGCTTGAATAAGGTGTAATAATTACAAAAGAGAACAAGAGCTATGGAGACTATGTGGTTCCACTCCGTACTCTGTATGAGACAGAAGAACTGGTATCCGACCAGAAGCCAGGTAAGCACCAGTAACCAGTTCACCACACGCATTGGCTGGTGGAATAAAAACTGAAATTAAAAACATAAACAATTGTTAATATTGGTACATGCTGAACGAAATAGTTGTATGGTGCAATATAATTCATTTTTGGTACACTTAATCCATTACCAAAATTTTAGGTGCAATCAGCTGTGTATCACAGTTTGTCTTATGTTTATAAAAAAAAAACCATGAGAAAAAGTACAAAAGTTATATAATTTACGTATGATTACCTCATAATGTATTATCAGTCAAATGTGATTACTCTGTAGTGTTACATCAACTAAATATTATCCCTTTGTAGCAATACCTGTACATCTGTTAAACATGATTACTCAGTAAAATTTGGATACTAGGTAAATCATGCTACATTACACAACTTCTACACTGTAGGTCTGTACATACAAACTTGAGTCAGATATTTACTGTATATTGTAACTGTGACTGTTATACAGCGATAAGATTTGTAATAGTCATCATACTGTCCACAAACAGAAAAGACTACTAAATCGTTATCTGTATCGTCAGCTCTGTTTGTATGTCCAATACTTACATAAAATCTACCATGCATTGTGTTTCCTGGTTCTGCAGTTACATTTATTCCTTCAGCCTTGAATAAACCACGCACATGTTTCACAAGAGCTCCTTGTGGCCAAACTGTCAGCTCTGACCACCTGTAACAAATAAAGCAACCCCATGGCAAGGCACTGAGACAAAGTATGAGACATATTATGTAATAAAAAATTGATAAAACAATGTATTACTGTTACAATGTATTAATCAAACGAAGTATAACTGTAACAAAATTTTGATATTATAATGCATAACTTAAAAAGTAAAAAGTATTGATAAGCAATCTATTACTCTATTACAAAGTATTGTTAAAGTAAGAGTTTGTGTAATTTAATAACATAAAATTGAACTGTAACAATGTATTAATAAAACAAAGTAAACTGTTACAAAGTATTGAAAACCAATTTATTTCTGTAACAAAGTACTACAAACTTCAGAGGTGTAGAACTAACGTCAGTAAGAGTAAAGTTAAGAGGAATTAAATATAAGTAGGGGGGACTTAATCACAACATACTCAAGCGTTACCAGTAAAAGGGGTTTTGAAGGGTTTTATTTGGTACTACAAAGCCACAGCGAAGCCTTGTGCTTAACTTCAAAAATCTTAACCTCAGGAGAGACTCTATAAGCCATTGTAGCCCTTAGCAGTTTTAAAACAATTTAAGCCAATATCCAAAACGACATTCCTTTAAAAAAAACTCTGATGGAAGGAAGGGTTGATACTTAGGATAATCTCCTGATGAAAATACTTACGCATTGTAAGGAACATGTGCATGTCTGCCTTCGACTTTCTGCCAGCGTCCTAGGTGTAGAGCAGATTTATGAAGGAGGTCCAGGTATTTGGGGGGAAGGAAGTGTACTATCAGCATGAGGAAGACACTGAGCCATGTCATACACACATGTTGTCCTACCCACCATGTGTCATAGTATAGCGTATTCTGTAACATACAAGGCCCAACATGATTACTGGGTTCATCAATGACATACAAGAAAGCCACTTATATACTGGTTTCTTTCTGTTCCCTAACATCCATGTTATAACCTATATACTGGTTTTTTTCTGTTCCGTAACATCCATGTTGTAACCTATATACTGGTTTCTTTCTGTTCCGTAACATCCATGTTATAACCTATATACTGGTTTCCTGTGCAACATACAAGAGATAACCTGTTTACTAATTCCTTCTGTGGTTTGCATCACACAAGGAACATGTACATGTAAGATCATTTCTTGTGCACTCTAGACAAGGTAAAATGTATAAAATAGGTATACAAATTTCCTCCGTGCTTTTGTTATATACAGGCCTGCCACTTGTATACTGATTTCTATAACCCCTTTTGGTTACAACTCTTCCAAGTGATCGGATCCTTTTGAAATGTTAATTGACATCACAAAGCATGACAATACAAAACAAGCATTGTGATAGTGATTCTATGGACAATACTGTCTCTAGAGATTACTCAGAAAGAGAACATATGTCTTTTGTTCTGAGGAAAAAACAAGACATCTAAATCATAATTGACAGGATATCTAACTTGAGATGACTGACAACATATATGAACTTGTGTAGACACACATATTTTGACTGAAAAAACTTCACAACTCAAAATTATACCAAATTGTTTTAAAAATTATCGGACTGGAGTGCTAAAAAACAAGATACTTGCATGCCAGGGCATCACCCACCACCCATCTAAACCAACAATGAAAAACAGGCAATCATTATTTTGTTATCTATTTTTGCCACATAAATAATTTTAGATTAAAGTTAGATTCTAGAAAATCCTATTTAAGTAACAGTGCCCTTGATCTTTGACAAACCACAACCAAATTGATTAGGATTTTTCATTTCCTCTGGGACAATAAACCTACCAAATTTGAGGCTTGTAAATTAATTTGCTTCGAAGTTAGAATGGAATAAAATTATAATTTTCAGTAAGAGTGACCTTGGACTGTTGATTGACCAGGCCAAAACTTTCCTATGTCAACCCATATACAAAACACAAGCTAAGTACAATCTATTACTGTAAAATCATAAATTTTCATAGGACATTTAATTTCATTTATTTTGTGGATAACAAAAATCAATGAAATCAAATCTCCACGAAAACATAAATTTGGTATGATATAGATATAGATAGGAGAAAATCCAAAATCAGTGAAATATAATGTCCTTGAAACAGGCTAGTATATGAAAACCATGAAATTTTAACCCTACGAAAATAAATAATTCTACAGTATTTTGGAGGTAGGATCTGGACAAAGAAATATATTTTTAGTAATAGTGACCTAAAGTATATTTTATTCCCCAATACAAGACAGTAACAGATCTCACTCTTTATTTGTATCACCAATCAAAAGACAGCATCAGTACCAAAACAAATTGCATGCACATTACTGCTAAAATTCAATCTATACCTACGTTACAAGGAAGTTTCTATAGTGTCTAACCACTGGACTTTCTAGAAAATGTAAAGACTGATTTTGCCTTCAGCCACACAGTACATTATATCAGAAAAAAGAAAAATGGACAACAAATATATAACTTCACAAAGAAGAACTTTCACAATAAAAACCATGGAAATAACAGCACTGTGCTGAATTAAAATAAAACATCCAATCAATAAAAGAGAACAGAAAAGACATAAAATCAATGAACTTATGATATCAATTATTGAACTCTTTAACAATCAAGACAAAACAAGCAGATTTTATGAATAATGTATATATATTGATAACCTTCTTTTATATCGTATTTCATCACCTTTTAAAAACACAAAGCTATGGAACAGATTTTGCTCAACGTCGTACTTTACCTTAGTCTTCCCTAATATGTTGTAGATGATGAGAAGGTTCATCAAAATCTCGGTGAAATTTCCATGTGGAAACATGAAAAAGTTAACACATGAGAGACCACATCATAAAATGTCTGTTTCTACAGACATTAAAAAAAACAGGCATGATATCACCACAGACTTAAATCTGCATTGATTTCTTGATTTACCACTTAACACTTATCTCAGAAAATAAAGGAATCTTTCTTATGGCTGAATTGATTTGCTTCAAACAAACAATATTTGTAATAGAGTTTGATGGACTACCTAGAATACATGAACTCGGATTACATTCACTGTCCAGGCCTGGAGTATAATGTGAAGGATTTTTTTCCCTTGCAATTGAAGCAAACTAGAAAAACTTAAAATGAAATTGTGAGTAACTAAATCTGTCTGGAATAGATATCTATATATGGAGTCAAAGTGTGTAACTTAGGTGTAGAATTAGACCCCTAGGGTTACATGTACAGTCTGTAATGTAGGTCTAGAATTAGACCCCTAGGGTTACACGTACAGTATGTAACTTAGGTGTATAATTAGACCCCTAGGGTTACATGGACATTATGTAATGTAGGTGTAGAATTAGACACCTAGGGTTACATGTACAGTATGTATCTTAGGTGTAGAATTAGACCCCCAGGGTTACATGTACAGTATGTAACTCAGGTGTAGAATTAGACCCCTAGGTGTACATGGACAGCATGTAATGTATGTGTAGAATTACACCCCTAGGGTTACATGTACAGTCTGTAATGTAGGTCTAGAATTAGACCCCTAGGGTTACATGGACATTATGTAATGTAGGTGTAGAATTAGACCCCTAGGGTTACATGAACAGTATGTAATGTATGTGTAGAATTAGGCCCCTAGGGTTACATGTACAGTATGTGTAGAATTAGACCCCTAGGGGTACATGTACAGTATGTATCTTAGGTGTAGAATTAGACCCCCAGGGTTACATGTACAGTATGTAACTTAGGCGTAGAATTAGACCCCTAGGGTTAAATGTCCATTATGTAATGTAGGTGTAGAATTAGACACCTAGGGTTACATGTACAGTATGTAATGTATGTGAAGAATTAGACCCCTAGGGTTACATGGACATTATGTAATGTAGGTGTAGAATTAGACCACTAGGGTTACATGTACAGTATGTATCTTAGGTGTAGAATTAGACCCCCAGGGTTACATGTACAGTATGTAATGTAAGTGTAGAATTAGACCCCTAGGGTTAAATGTCCATTATGTAATGTAGGTGTAGAATTACTCCCCTAGGGTTACATGTACAGTATGTAACTTAGGTGTAGAATTAGACCCCTAGGGTTACATGTACATTATGTAATGTAGGTGTAGAATTAGACCACTAGGGTAACATGTACAGTATGTAATGTATGTGTAGAATTAGACCCCTAGGGTTACATGTACAGTATGTAATGTATGTGTAGAATTAGACCCCTAGGGTTACATGTACAGTATGTAATGTAGGTGTAGAATTAGACCCCTAGGGTTACATGTACAGTATGTAATGTAGGTGTAGAATTAGACCCCTAGGGTTACATGTACAGTATGTAATGTAGGTGTAGAATTAGACCCCTAGGGTTACATGTACAGTATGTAATGTAGGTGTAGAATTAGACCCCTAGGGTTACATGTACAGTATGTAATGTAGGTGTAGAATTAGACCCCTAGGGTTACATGTACAGTATGTAATGTAGGTGTAGAATTAGACCCCTAGGGTTACATGTACAGTATGTAATGTAGGTGTAGAATTAGACCCCTAGGGTTACATGTACAGTATGTAATGTAGGTGTAGAATTAGACCCCTAGGGTTACATGTACAGTATGTAATGTAGGTGTAGAATTAGACCCCTAGGGTTACATGTACAGTATGTAATGTAGGTGTAGAATTAGACCCCTAGGGTTACATGTACAGTATGTAATGTAGGTGTAGAATTAGACCCCTAGGGTTACATGTACAGTATGTAATGTAGGTGTAGAATTAGACCCCTAGGGTTACATGTACAGTATGTAATGTAGGTGTAGAATTAGACCCCTAGGGTTACATGTACAGTATGTAATGTAGGTGTAGAATTAGACCCCTAGGGTTACATGTACAGTATGTAATGTAGGTGTAGAATTAGACCCCTAGGGTTACATGTACAGTATGTAATGTAGGTATAGAATTAGACCCCTAGGGTTACATGTACAGTATGTAATGTAGGTGTAGAATTAGACCCCTAGGGTTACATGTACAGTATGTAATGTAGGTGTAGAATTAGACCCCTAGGGTTACATGTACAGTATGTAATGTAGGTGTAGAATTAGACCCCTAGGGTTACATGTACAGTATGTAATGTAGGTGTAGAATTAGACCCCTAGGGTTACATGTACAGTATGTAATGTAGGTGTAGAATTAGACCCCTAGGGTTACATGTACAGTATGTAATGTAGGTGTAGAATTAGACCCCTAGGGTTACATGTACAGTATGTAATGTAGGTGTAGAATTAGACCCCTAGGGTTACATGTACAGTATGTAATGTAGGTGTAGAATTAGACCCCTAGGGTTACATGTACAGTATGTAATGTAGGTGTAGAATTAGACCCCTAGGGTTACATGTACAGTATGTAATGTAGGTGTAGAATTAGACCCCTAGGGTTACATGTACAGTATGTAATGTAGGTGTAGAATTAGACCCCTAGGGTTACATGTACAGTATGTAATGTAGGTGTAGAATTAGACCCCTAGGGTTACATGTACAGTATGTAATGTAGGTGTAGAATTAGACCCCTAGGGTTACATGTACAGTATGTAATGTAGGTGTAGAATTAGACCCCTAGGGTTACATGTACAGTATGTAATGTAGGTGTAGAATTAGACCCCTAGGGTTACATGTACAGTATGTAATGTAGGTGTAGAATTAGACCCCTAGGGTTACATGTACAGTATGTAATGTAGGTGTAGAATTAGACCCCTAGGGTTACATGTACAGTATGTAATGTAGGTGTAGAATTAGACCCCTAGGGTTACATGTACAGTATGTAATGTAGGTGTAGAATTAGACCCCTAGGGTTACATGTACAGTATGTAATGTAGGTGTAGAATTAGACCCCTAGGGTTACATGTACAGTATGTAATGTAGGTGTAGAATTAGACCCCTAGGGTTACATGTACAGTATGTAATGTAGGTGTAGAATTAGACCCCTAGGGTTACATGTACAGTATGTAATGTAGGTGTAGAATTAGACCCCTAGGGTTACATGTACAGTATGTAATGTAGGTGTAGAATTAGACCCCTAGGGTTACATGTACAGTATGTAATGTAGGTGTAGAATTAGACCCCTAGGGTTACATGTACAGTATGTAATGTAGGTGTAGAATTAGACCCCTAGGGTTACATGTACAGTATGTAATGTAGGTGTAGAATTAGACCCCTAGGGTTACATGTACAGTATGTAATGTAGGTGTAGAATTAGACCCCTAGGGTTACATGTACAGTATGTAATGTAGGTGTAGAATTAGACCCCTAGGGTTACATGTACAGTATGTAATGTAGGTGTAGAATTAGACCCCTAGGGTTACATGTACAGTATGTAATGTAGGTGTAGAATTAGACCCCTAGGGTTACATGTACAGTATGTAATGTAGGTGTAGAATTAGACCCCTAGGGTTACATGTACAGTATGTAATGTAGGTGTAGAATTAGACCCCTAGGGTTACATGTACAGTATGTAATGTAGGTGTAGAATTAGACCCCTAGGGTTACATGTACAGTATGTAATGTAGGTGTAGAATTAGACCCCTAGGGTTACATGTACAGTATGTAATGTAGGTGTAGAATTAGACCCCTAGGGTTACATGTACAGTATGTAATGTAGGTATAGAATTAGAACCCTAGGGTTACATGTACAGTATGTAATGTATGTGTAGAATTAGACCCCTAGGGTTACATGTACATTATGTAACTTAGGTGTAGAATTAGACTCCTAGGGTTACATGTACAGTATGTAACTTAGGTGTAGAATAAGCCCCCTAGGGTTACATGTACACTATGTAACTTAGGTGTAGAATTAGTCCCCTAGGGTTACATGTCCAGTATGTAATGTAGGTGTCGATTTAGACCCCTAGGGTTACACGTACAGTATGTAACTTATGTATAGAATTAGACCCCTAGGGGTACATGTACAGTATGTAACGTAGGTGTAGAATTAGACTCCTAGGGTTACATGTACTCTATGTAACTTAGGTGTATAATTAGACACCTAGGGTTACATGTACGCTATGTAACTTAGGTGTATAATTAGACCCATAGGGTTACATGTACAGTCTGTAACTTAGGTGTAGAAGTAGACTCGTAGGGTTACATGTACAGTATTTAATGTATGTGTAGAATTAGCCCCCTAGGGTTACATGTCCAGTATGTAATGTAGGTCTAGAATTAGAACCCTAGGGTAACATGTACAGTATGTAACGTAGGTGTAGAATTAGACCACTAGGGTTACATGTACAATATGTAACTTAGGGGTAGAATTAGACCCCTAGGGTAACATGTACAGTATGTAATATATGTATAAAATGCATTGCATGCTGTCTTTAAATTATATTTATATAACATCATAAAATAAACAAATACAGCCCTATTATTACAACACACATATATTTACCTCAACTAATTAAAAGAAAATACAAAATTGACAAAGACTTATAAACCAGTATGTAATGTAGGGGTAGAATTAGACCCCTAGGGGTACATGTACAGTATGTAATATATGTATAAAATGCATTGCATGCTGTCTTTAAATTATATTTATATAAAATCATAACATAAACAAATACAGCCCTATTATTACAACACACATATATTTACCTCAACTAATTAAAAGAAAATACAAAATTGACAAAGACTTATAAACCAGTATGTAATGTAGGGGTAGAATTAGACCCCTAGTGTTACATGTACAGTATGTATCTTAGGTGCAGAATTAGACCCCCAGGGTTACATGTACAGTATTTAATGTATGTGTAGAATTAGCCCCCTAGGGTTACATGTACGCTATGTAACTTAGGTGTAGAATTAGTCCCCTAGGGTTACATGTCCAGTATGTAATGTAGGTATAAAATTAGAACCCTAGGGTAACATGTACAGTATGTAATATATGTATAAAATGCATTACATGCTATCTTCAAATTATATTTATATAAAATCATAACATAAACAAATACAGCCCTATTATTACAACACACATATATTTACCTCAACTAATTAAAAGAAAATACAAAATTGACAAAGACTTATAAACCAGTATGTAATGTAGGTCTAGAATTAGAACCCTAGGGTTACATGTACTCTATGTAACTTAGGTGTATAATTAGACACCTAGGGTTACATGTATAGTATGTAACTTAGGTGGAGAATTAGACCCCTAGGGCTACATGTACAGTATGTATCTTAGGTGTAGAATTAGTCCCCTAGGGTTACATGTACAATATGTAACTTAGGGGTAGAATTAGACCCCTAGTGTTACATGTACAGTATGTTATGTATGTGTAGAATTAGACTCCTAGGGTTACAGGTACAGTATGTAACTTAGATGTAGAATAAGCCCCCTAGGGTTACATGTCCAGTATGTAATGTAGGGGTAGAATTAGACCCCTCGGGTTACATTTACAGTATGTAATGTAGGTAAAGAATTAGACCCCTAGGGTTACATGTACAGTATGTAATGTATGTATAAAATGCATTACATGCTGTCTTCAAATTATATTTATATAACATCATAAAATAAACAAATACAGCCCTATTATTACAACACACATATATATACCTCAACTAATTAAAAGAAAATACAAAATTGACAAAGACTTATAAACAAACCGAGCCTTACACATTTACTAACAGAGTCTAACACAATTACAATCAGAATTTAACACATTTACAATCAGAGTTTAACACATTTACAACAGCAAAGGAAATAATAACAGCTAAGGTGCAACAGTCACAACACATATATAGTCACTTACCCAGCAGGTGTCACAATGGTTTTGGACATGCTAACAGAAGGTTAGTTTTAAAAAGCATTAGATTACACTGTAAATAGGTGGTGTACAAGAAAACTTCATCGTAACTAAATTTGTGTGTACATAATTGTAGAAGTAGGTCCAAATCAAATGTCAGTGCAATGTTAATGTCTGTTTACAGTTACATGAAATTTTGATCTAAAGAGCTGTACCTACTATACAGGGAACAATCTATGTTTCAGGAATTTACTTTCTGATTTAGGTGAAAATTAGGGCTATTTTGCATGAGAATGTAAACCTCCTGTAATTCGAACCATTAGATTAGATGTGCATGAGAGAAAAATCATTTCATAATTGTTATGTGTAAATGACTACACTTTTACAATCTTAATAATTTTATCTATATCCAATAAAACATTCAAATGCATGGAATATGAAAATGTTTCAAGAACAGCAGGAAATTCTTCTGTAGTGTATATTTTTTCTTCATGGGAAATTTATCAATGATAGTAACAAATTTGGTCTTGACAGCTGACTCCGGATTATTGAAAAGTAATCACTTTTGTCATTTTAAATATTTGTAAACATATTTTAACATCATGAAGGTATGTTTGAAAAGAAAAACTGCTTTGCCATCCAACCCTAGAAGTGATGGAAGTGTTTACGTTCAGAAACATGGGCACAGGGATAATGAGTGAAGCTAAATAACTCTATCAACATGTTCAGTAACGGATTGTGCAGGTAACTGTATATGAAATTAGGATAATATTGATTAAATAGAACATAACAGCAATACATTGTATTACAAATACATTGTGTTATACAGTTATAGGTTTTGAACTGTGTTATTGTTGCATAATGTTAACACAGTATTCATCATATTCCTTACCTGGGCAAAACAGAGGGGCACAAACGTCATGTAGTAGGCTGTTAATAATGAGTTAAATAAAACTTGTTTAATCCGACCATTGAAGTCATTTTTGAAGGTATCGACCTCTGATCTGATGATGTCTGGTGTGAGAACACAGCTATGTGTAAGTATTGCTTCTGCCTCCATGATTTCCCGCCCCTTATATTTGGCCGAGCTGGTTTTGTCCTGAACAGGAACTGGCCATACCAAGGTCTTATGATACAAGGGTTTAACGGAGGGTCCAAACAACAACACATAAGTTACAATTCTGTAAAAAAGCAAGGGTTATACATGAATAAAATATATATGAAATCAAGCATTTTAACACTAAATCTTCATATTATAAAGGAAAAACGAAATATGTTACATTTAGATCATATTGCTGACATAAAAATTGGAATTGTACAATTGTTTTGATGCATTTTGTCTTCAGATAGGATTCAAAAATCCTGATACATGATGTGTAAGCTACTATATATATGTTGTTTACTATTATATCTACATAGTAAAGTAATGTGTGAAAAATGGACCCAGCAAGATTATTGATTCCTTTTGGCAGTTGTATTATTCTACTAACTGATCAGCAGTTTGAAGCACAAAATGAAACATAAAAAATAAAAAAACCAAGAAGAACCTAATTCTGACATTCGCAAAAGATCTGTTATATATTTGTGAGAAATAGTGATAACAAACTCCAACAGCTGAATTCAAACGTCTGCCTGGTAGCCATTTTTTTCAAATCCAGCTGAAAGTGAATCTCTCCAGTGCTTTCCATGTAAAAGTCAGGAAGATCATAAACTTGAACCCGCAATGTCAAAGACGGCTGTGTCTTGCTGCCATCTTGTTGTTTTGATCAATATCAAAACAAAACATGCACTACATTGTACTAAGGATTTGCGGGGATCTACATATGAGCTTTAAGAAAGATCTCTCAAGTACTTCTTGAAAATTGCATAAACAAACGTGAACTGTCAAAGATGACTGATTAGCTGTTATCTTGTTCTATTAATTAAATGATCAGGAAGCATGCACAACAAAGGACCAAGGGGAGCCTACATATGTGAGAAAAACTTGTTCAGTACTCCTTGTGAAATAGCCAGAACAGCTATTTAAGGACAAAGAGCAGACAATCTTAAGACCATTTGACTATTTGAACAGCCCAAAATCTGACGACGGCAGGCTAAAAAAACCTAGAATCCGTTGGAAATGACAAGCAACTGTAAAAAAAACACCTCTCAATTTCAAAATCATATAAAATATTATCAAATTAAAATATTATGTCAGCGGAGCATTGTCTCTTTATCTCCTTAGTTCACTTTTGTTTGCAAAAAAGGATGAAGAGAAATACTTACGGACAACAAAGAAAAAGACAGTAGAAAAGTGAATGCTTCACTATGACATTATAGGCTGTATATATCAGAAAAACGGTCACAACGAATATCAGGAGAATCTTCATTAACTGCACCAACCAAAATAAAATACTTTTACTGGACCTCGGTCCAAAAACCTGAAATAGAAAATACAGTTCCTCTCTATTGTCATCACAGATACACAGAATTTCAAAATGACTCAATCTAAGCAGCACATGTTCATATACCCAGGTAATTTTAATATTAATAGTTTTTATAATTATTACATATTTTTTTAACCATCAAATAAACAAAACTTATGAATACCAATAATTTAGCATAATATTTGAAGGAATATTTAAGTCATTTTTCAGCTTTTCTGGTAACATCATATTACATACTAAGTCTATGATCAAATGTATGTACCTCTTGAACAAAACACCAAACCAGTCTCCTACTCATAAGGGCACACAAAAACAGCACCAGGTATGGGTCAATCAGATAGAAGTTCTGAAACAACATAGATTGTATACATAATATATATGGAATTTAAAGACAATATAGGTTCTGTTTACTAGTGTGTTTAATATCCAATACTTTATAAATTATGTTATTGCAGGAAGAATAATTCTCCATTCTATCCCGCAACTATTGTTTTAGGAATAGTGACATTTCTTTCTCCATTAGGGGAAACATACAATTTAATGAGGGACTTGATTGAACATATATATATATTCCACAATGTCATGTCTATATCTGTTACGTTTAACGCAAGTTCCAAAATTCTAAATTCACTGTTGATGATGATCAGTACTACTCATTATAGGAAGAAGTGGTGAGTCTATGGTTATTTTTTAGGGACATAGTATTATGTAATAACTTAAGATCTTAACTTACAAGAGCATAATTTGCATGGCTATGGGGAAGCCACCAGACAGTCTTGTACAGGTTAATGTACTGTAGTCCCATGACAATCACTCCAAACATGTACAGCATGGCCTCAAAGGAGATGTTGCTGTCTCCTGGGATCTCTGGTAGATGTGAATGTTTAGGCAGCACCACCATAGAGGCTAAGGGGATCATGTTGGTATCTCTTTCCTCAATACTACTGAAACAAAATTGAAAGGGCATTAAAATATATATTACAGATTCAGGTTTTATATAATCTTAGTCTTTTCTATTGAAACTTTGCATTGAGATAAAGGGTCTGTGGTTGTTATAAAGGCATATACTAGTTGTAATACTGACCAGATACAATACTGCAGTGTTAACGTACAGTGTAATAGGACAAGGAATAGTGATAAAGTTAGTGCCGTTGCTGGGGCTTGAACCCGCGACCCTTGGCTCTCCAGCCCGATGCTCTACCGCTGAACTAAAGGGAAATTTCCTACAGCTGACGCTTGTAAGGCAACCTAATTAATCCACATCTTTTACACTATTCACCCCTTTTTTCAAACACCAATCCAGGTTCTTTGACTCCCCACCAAGGGTTCTCCTACCTTGAACGAGGAGGGTCAACGGCACCAATTTGTAATAGGACAAGGAATAGTGATAAAGATAGTGCCACGTCGCTGGGGCTCAAACCCGCAACCCTTGGCTCTCCAGCCTGATGCTCTACCGCTGAGCTAAAGAGAAATTCCCTACAGCTGACGCTTGTAAGGCAACCTACCTAATCCACATCTTTTACAACAGTATGGACAACCAATTATACATGTATTTATAATCATGTAAACATGTTTAGAAATACATTGTATGTAATATACTTTCCTGTACTAGGTGATATTTCCTCAGATATTTGATCCATTTATAAATAAACAACATTACATATTGTAGTACAATTCTTGCATGCGAACGTATATGATATAATATCAATAAGATATAATTAAATGGAGATGTTTCAATTTCCTTATCATGAAACAATATTCACATTTCAAAGCCAACATAGTCATTTGTACACAGTTATCCATGGAATCCACTAGATGTATTTCTCGTTACCATGAACTAATTATGTTTTTACTGGCAGATCAGAACCGGACATCGATAAATTATTTATAGATGCCTAGGCCTTATCAATCAATGGATTTAATGTCAAACTAACGGAACCAATGAGGAGTGACAACGTTGACGCGCGAGAATAATTAATTAATTTAGTGATTACCTTCCGTTCCCAGTTTTGTGTGTATTATTGGAAAAAGAAGATGACTGTATCCTGGATAGTATCCGACGTCCACCAGGCATCGTAAATGACAGCATCCATATAAAATGAACTCTGATCAAACGTTAACATATTTTTCCCATTTTCATATCTGTAACCGGAAGTTTGAAGGTGTTTCTAAATTTGAACAGAAATAAGGTCAATATAATCCGGAAAATGTCCCTGTAGTAGTACTCGATAAAGCACATGTGTTGAATGCCATAAAAACGTCACTTTTTAATAATATAAAGTTACATTACGCAGATAAGAGATACATAGCGATCAGTAAGTCAGTTTTTCTTTTTCTTGATCAAGTCCAGGATTTTATCCGATTCATGTAGGCTATACGTCGTCCCGATCGCTCTCCCAATTTCTTCTAGTTGAATGGGACGCCTACAGTTTGGTGAAAATAGGAAAATGGATTCTAAACAAAAAAATATTGACATGATTACTCAAAACCAATAATTGTTATGTAAGGACTAATTGCTGCAATGAGATATCATCCGGGCACCATTTTTATGTTTGACACACGGATGTACAAGGCGACCCTGGAAAAGGTCGGGGACACAAGTTCTGATAATCTATGACATATTCCTGACATCATAATTGTTCCCTTGTATATATGCCCTTCTTCACATCGTGTGTTTTTTTTTTTAAATGGAATATTTGTTAATACAACTCAACGATTAATACAAAAAGATAACAAACAATACATACACGTTTATGTTATCTGGGAATTTTTTAATTGTCCCCATGAATTTCCTATATAATATATAGGAAATTCATGGGGACAATTAAAAAATTCCCATTAATTTTTTTTCCTCATGAGAAAGGGCCGATCACTCGACCAGTTTCTTCAACAGCAGCTTGTTTCGATCTTTACAGTGCTTGTCCCATGTTTATGTTGTCAATTTTCTGTTTTTCCGTTCTGGTGTATATATCAGTGCTATGAAAGGTTGATGTAATTTCACAATACATTTACTTACTTACAAATTTTGCTGACATTGCATCACGTCGATAGACCTTTCTTACGAAGTAGATATTGGAGTAATTTTAGGGTCGCCATTAGACATGACTTCAGTCTATGGTATCTCAAGCGTGCCCTGGTTAAAGTCGTGTGAGTGTGAATCGCATCTAAGATCTTTGAATACCGACCATAGTGTAATTGTTTGAGGCGAGATTTTTTTGATACAAGATTTACTGTCACAAACTAGAATACAGTGCCACAATGTGGGACCCCAACAACATCTGTCAAATTAACCTGTTGGAGAAAGTGCAACGTCCAGCAGCCAGGTATCTGGGGGGGTTTCCAAATTTCCTGGGGGGGTTTCCATGTGGGGAAAAATTGAGGAAAATGGTGAAAATACATGATTTTTAAAGAAAATTCTCAGGGTGGGGGGGTTTCCTGAAGCCCAAAAACCCCCTCTGGATCCGCCACTGGGTATGCGTATTCACCTTATACTGGCCACCTTTACGTCTTTGTTGTCTCCAGTTCAGACTTGGCATGCTGTACAAAATCGTACACAACCAGGTCGCACTCTATCCACATAATCTTCTTAGCCCTGTCTACTCTCTCGCGCAGCCACACAATCCACATGCCCCCCAAAACACCCAAATGTCCAGAGATTGCTATAAACTCATTCTATCCTAGAACTATTAACGCAGTGGAGTCTACTGCTCAGTGTGTCGTGTCTGTTGACACTGTTGATGCTTACAAAGCTGCCATCGCAGTGTCCTTCCTCTCACAACTTTAAGTCCCCTTGTTTTAAATATTTTATCCTCACCGAAAAAACATGTATGTTTCTTTTAATCAACGGCTAGTGAAAGATCATCAGATTGATGGCACACTAGTATCCAGAAGACGAAGCCGGCCCATCGACAGTTGAAGTTACTTTGGGTCAATTGGCGGGCCCCTCTGCAGATTCGGGAAGAATGGGCCTGATGTATCTCATTACATGTCATTATGAGTGGGGTTTTTAATCAAGCAATCTACAAACAAGATGTCATTCCCGTAGATTGCTTGGGTATTCAGAAAAAAAGATGTTTCAAATGTCTTCGCACAGTTGACCTATATTTCCTAAGTCATCGTTGTTCGTTTGAACATATCATAGGTCAGATACCATCATGGACTTTTGGTTATTCAGAAGTCGTTTGAATGTTTAAACAATTTTGACCCTGGGTTAATGTCAATCATCCGTGCATGCTACTTGCCAAACTTAATTTCGCTACACCCCTGGATTATCCTCCAGAAGTTACTTAGACAAAAGTTAAGAACAGACGGATGACCATCCTCGGTACTACAGGGGTTACGCCCAGTTTCGTCCTCTGCACCCCTGGAATATGTAATTTAGTTAAATTGAAGGCAGACGGTTGGCTATTTAATTGTCTCAGATAAAAAAAAACCTGACCAATCATTAGGATGATACATGTCCTTTTGAAAGTTACAGAGGAGAGATATCCAACTTTAAAGTCAGTCAATTGTATTGTAAGGCATCTTCTGAGGTGCATCAAAGGATCAAACTAGTCTTCCTGTCTCATCCACAAGGTGGCACACAATGAACGTTAGATTTTGCTAAGACATGTTCCAGTGGTGCAGAGAGCGACAGTGAACCCCTTGAGTATCGAGGATGACGGACGACAGACGTTGAACCATATGTCATCATCTCATTTGCCTTTTTTCATGTGAACTCAAAACGAGAAAAACACAAAATGTCTCGTAGAGATATTAAGTATTTGTGCTATGTTTCCATCAAATATGACACTTAAAATGACAGGAATGTTGACTTAAAATAAGATAAATAGAAAACGACATAATTTTAAATACCATAACTAATTATCGGGTTATCATGATAGCTGCAGGCAAAACACGCCTAGGATATTCCAGCATAGACTGATGCTTAGACTCGCGTGGCCGTTGTTATTGCACGAGATAAGGATGAAAGGTATCAAGAGGACGCTAAACAAAAACCTAAAACAATGGCTTGGAGTCCGACCATGGTTCTCAAGTGAAGGGCATCGAAGCTGCAACTGCCACTGACTTTGATTTTAGAGGAATTTAAAGAGGGGGAGACAAAACTCATCATGACCTTGAGGGACTCGAAGGAAAATTGTCCGGGAGGCGGGATTCCAGATGAGAACTCAAAGGAAGTGATTAACAAGCAAAGCAGTGTGGGCGATGTGTATCTGGCAGAACGTTGCGAGTTCTGTATGTTTAGGACGGCAAAGGCTAAGAAACTCCGAAAGTCGGCGGTAGCTAGGGTACATCAGACAAGAAGAAGATACGGGTGCTACTAGTAAAGGAAGAAAACAGGATCCAAGAGGAGAGAAAGACGAAGGTTGTGGAGATGGGCTACAGATTGAGTGGATACTAGTATTGAGGAATGGAAACTAAAATGGACCATGGACGAATATATGGCAATATTCACCTTGACCGTTCAGATCGTCTATAGTATCCTACCTTCTGTTAAGCCAGACAAAACGTATTGTATTCCAACAACGTTATCATCAGCTTGTTGAAAAAAGAAGAACCCAACAATGCATGGAGTTGACAGAAGATCAGATGAAGGAAGCGGAGATGTACAGGAAGCTCAGCAAGATGACTTTCCCTTACATAGTACACGCGACTCTCCGTCCAAGAAACTTTCGATGGTGAAAGTCAGTGCCAAGGGAAAAGCAGTGGGCAAAGGCAAGATAACAAGAGAAAGTGGGCAAATATCTGGGTTTGTTGTGTCAAACCGAGAATTAAGAAAGTAGTTTAAAGGAATTAGTTTTATCCGTATAAACATTCTTTATGCACATAGTTGGGATTGGCTGTAAGAAGTATTATATATTTACACAGGAGTAATAAAAAAAAATATACTCTCACCAATACTCAATAGTTACTTTGTTTACTTTGTCCTTGTAGACGTTTTTTTTTTATTTGTAATACTTCAACAGCCATGTTACAATACATGGGATATCAATACAATCTCGAAATATGATTGGATCACGCATGAACTTTACTTTATTTGGGTACTAACTCATGACGTCACATTTCTGCTTGACTACCATTGAGCACAGACATGACAAGAGTGTAATGTACAAGGGTGTCTCGTCGTCGCCAAAAAAGAAAAGTTTGGATCAGTAGAGATGCTTTTCTCATAGTACTTCTATTTGTGAAAATATGTTCAATGTTCCAGTGTATATGTTCAGCTTCAGAATACATGGTGGACTGCAAAAGACCGCTGGTGATTTTTCCGTTGAATTATTTAGTAAGCTTAAGTATTTCAACAAGTTTTACTTGGAAAAGTTCTATAAATAGTAAGCGGGAAGTATGTTCTACCTAAGTGTAGAATCTATTTCTAAGGGTAAATACTGTCCTTGCTTCCATGTATAAAATCTACTTATATTAACCTGATTTTTAACAACATATTGTTTTTGACAAGAAGTGTTATTTCTTCGAAGATATGTATTTGGAGTTGTAATTGTCAAACCAAATTTTCTATATAAAGAGCTGACAAGGTCATGCTACAAATGTCTCGCGTGTCTATATATAATGTAGTTAGTCCAAATACTAGGGCAATATAATGACATAAGTAGATCTATTTTTATTGCATATTTACCTTGAAGCGCCACCAAATAACCACCGATTACGGGGATCCGGGAATTTGTTACAGCTATATTTGAATAATCATATTTGGACCTAAACTAAGGTGTTCAGAGTAATTTTACATAAATGATCATTGGGGGTGTCATTTTTACCAAAAGTCGATCTAAACCCTTAAAACATGTCAAATTACTCTGAACACCTTAGTTTAGGTCCAAATATAGCTGTAACAAATACGTGGGGCCCAGCTGTGCCCCAGATGACATCAGCTTGTTCATGTTGTAACATGCGCGTAAGACTGAGGAGCTAACGGCGAGATGGACGTTGTTGGGGTTAGTTCCCAATCATCGAAGACAATAGCTTAAGTAAGAACATGTAGTTAGACTAGAACGAAGGAAACCATTTTCTACAGCAAAAAAGAACATGTACAGGATGGAAACGGAGGAATTCATGATTTTTTGTCATATATCAAATAAGTTGTGTGAAGTTTGGTAGCTGCGTGCGATAAGGGCTGAAGACAGAACAAAAATGAATTACCGCTTGAGAATTAAACATGGA